GGGGTGGGGGGTGGGGGGGGTGTGCATGTTGGAAGGCAACTTACAGTTCCAGCAACTGATTTTGATGATATGAATGTGTTTGCTTTAAATCTCGACAGACCAAAATCACAAACCTGGAAGAAACATTTCAGATTATGAGAACTGCAAAATTCATTTGAAAACTCAAAGGTGAGTCAGCAACACTTTACCTTTACATTCCAGTTTTTATCAACCAACAGGTTAGGAGATTTCAGATCCCAATGCACAACAGGTGGGTTTAGCAAATGCAAATAATTGATACCCTTGGCCTGTATTTGAAATGAATAAGAAGCTTTCTAGATAAAAACATGTAAGGCATGCAACTATAATATGTGAGATTGGCACAAACCACATCCAAAGCCATACGGATACGTCTCCTCTGGTCCAACAATTCCCCAGCAGCTGGCCTGTGTATCAGACGGTAGAGACTTCCCCTATCATCATAATCAAAACACAGAAAATTTAGTCCAGTCAAATACTTGAAGATAGAAAGTAAGAATATTATGCAGTGACTAAAACACAAGTTACCTAGGCAAATATTCAGTCACTATCGATAGATGCGGCCGCTTGGTAACAGCTCCCATGAACAACACCACATTTGGATGACGAACACGTTTCATAATTGCAACCTTCAGAAAACATGAATCATGAGTTACCATCCAACAATAAACACCAGTATAAGAATGCGAGTAGAAGGATCAAATGACAGGAAAAATCCATCAACTAAATTTAAGAATTTCACATAGATATGAATGCAATACACAGACAAAATCGACGTTAGAGAGCAGATTGCCAAGATTAAACTACAACTACGCCTCAGTTTCAAGATATTTGGGGTGGACTACTGCCAATATTAAACTAAACAAAAAAATGTACTAGAGTATTTCTTTCTGTCGTTCTGCTTTTTGTCTTACCGTCTTACCCTTGCTATACTTGCTATACTGGGGAAACAAGAAAAAGCAGAAAGAGGTCAGCTGCAGCTGCAGAAAGTAGGCTTATCTTTACAAAAGGGCAGCCAGGTGCACAAAGCATCCCGCAAGATCCAGGGAAGGGCCGGGCCGCACCACAGGGATGTGATGTAGATAGCCTACCCTAACGCAAGCATTAGTGGTTGCTTTCATGGCTCGAAACCTATACAATTTTATGGTGGCTAGAATACAACAGCTCAACCAACTATTCTATGCACTCACCTCCCTTAGGAACTCCTTTAACTGATCGTCATGAAAATCCTGGACAGTTAACAGCTTGACTGCAACATCCTGCAGTAGTTAGTAGCACATTAAAACAGGTGCACCAATATATCAAAAATTAAACATAATTTCCACAAAGTATCTTTTAAAAGAAATTGTATGAAACTTCAATTTCATGCATTTGTTGCATATCCTTTTTCTCCAACTAATGCATGCTGCTAACCACAAGTTAAGTGAAGATGTCCAATTTTAGGAACCACAATGTAATAGCAAATTCAATTACCTCATGCAGTACGTTTTTTGTCAATATCAAAATACCAATAGCATTATCAAGAAATGATCTGAAAATTACAGTGTCATTATCATGAAGTTATACTAAAGTCTTGCTTCAATGTGATTTACACCTTTGCGTTGCCTAGATCATTTATACATCGTTGACATGTAATAGAAGCAATACAGCATGATTACAATTTATTTAGACTTACAGGCAATACAGCATGAATAATTTAGCAGCAAACTCAAAAGTAAATAATACTGACCGATCCATGCCATTCAGCACGGTGTACTGTCCCAAATGAACCTGCATGAAAGAAGAGGTACATCAAGATACATTGATGTCGAACAGGGTTCCATAAATGAGGAATAATTTAAAATCATTAGACATATTCACAAAGACACACCAGCACCAACACGCTCTTTCATCTGTAATTCATCCCATGAGATCTCAAGCCAATCCATTGCAAGAGAAGGCTCAAGATTCAAGTATCTGGGATTCGTTGCAGCCGGTTTCTCACGCTTCCCTGTTCTACCTCTTGCCTCCATTGCATCTATATTAGCTAATAGAGTTGCTTTTGGCGGTCTGCCAGGGCATATTGGAGACTTTTTGGATAGCACAACCTCCTCCTTGTAAGTCTGCCTGATAATGATTTTATCTTCTCTTGGTCTAGAATACTCATCTCCCGCTGTTTCAGCAGCAACAAGAACCTCGGATGGTTCAACTTCCAAAGCTTGATAAGAGCGGCACAGTGCATCATTTGGCAACTTTGGCTTATCACTGACAGCAAATTCGCTCACATGATCACCTTCAATGTGGGGGTCTGCAAGTATAGAAATTACAATTTCTCTTTCTCCAATGGTGACACTAAAAAATCTGAACTTCAAAATCATCTAGCTTCTGATTCTAACAATTTATGCAAATGCATAGAACAAGCCCTTTCAATGGTCAGGAAGAGAATTTTCAAGTAAGCTTTTTCCCTGTGCTGCAACGCAGGATACTATTGTAGTACAGACACAACATAAAAAGGCACCTGTATTGGAACACCAATGATCTATTCTTTCTGATATAAGTAACAATTTATTATGGGAAAAAGAAGTTACAATTGTAATATCCAAAGAATTTCAAATGCAATGACTTGCTTTGGTCGTATGTCATATCTCAAGCTGTAAATTAACCTTACATCATCTTCTTTCAAGTAATAATGTTAAATCAGTGTATCCAAAAGCAAAGGCGACCGTTCACTTTATAGGAATTTTATTCAGTTTCCACAAAACGTTTACAGCTCTACCATTTGGTTAACATATTAAATTAGTTTGATCCCTTTTTTCCTAATAATAGGAGCATCAATTAAAGCTACAAGGGTATGTAAATAACAGCACACCTGTATGCAAAGCATTTTCTGCAGGACCGAATGTGTCATTTGACAGCAGTAACTGATTACTTATGTCACTATCCACGTAAGGCTGCTGATATTCCTTCAGATGAGATACTTGAAGTGGTGAAGGAACAGGAGCCAATACACCTCCATTGATAGAGGAATCTGGACCATGCACATTTCCTGGATCCCCAACAAGATCAACCACAAATTCTCTGATACAATATAGATAAAAGTCAGAAAAGAATGAAGTGAAAATAAACATAATGTTCACCAGTGTTTATAACAAGTAAAGTCAGGCTTTACAGAAATTTAATGGAAAATCAAAGCACCAAAAGGTTCTAAATTTGTATACACTGCTTTAATCTTAACATACTCGTGAAAGCCCAATTAAATCTGGTCAAAGAAATGGCAAGCAGTGCAATTATCTAGTTGGTGGTAGGGGAGATAACTAAGGGGAAAATTCTTGTTGGTGGTAGGGGAGATAACTAGTTTAACTTTTTCGCCCCTTTTTCAGAATGGAGAAGTGGATAAGATGTTTTACCTTGACAATCTTCTATCATCCTCAATTTTCACCAGACAAGAAGATCGATGATCTGCAACACAATACTTGCAACCTCGAGCTATCCTACAAGGCAAACCTACGTAATCTGCCAATTTCTGCATACCACAATAGTCATCAGCTAATTTTCGGTTTTCTGAAAGCTCCATTTCAGTAATCAAGTAATTACAAGAACGATTAATGAAAGCCGGTTTAGAATTCTATTTCACCCTGTCCACGTAACAATTATGTAGAGGGCATGCAGATATTTCATAAAGAATTTTATGACCCAAAGTTCAGGTAGGGTAGTCATTACTGAATAAGCATAATCACCATTATTGTTTCTCCTCGAGCTACTTCCATTGGTGATCTTTTATGTAACACTCTTTAATTATCCATGGCATGGTGATCTTTTATGTAACACTCTTTAATTATCCATGGCAAGTGCCAACCGTTTATTGTTACGTCGCTCAAAAGCTATGAAAACATCCTAGGTATAGCTACTACTTAATCAATATGTTCCTTCATCAAACATCACAATGAATTCAGTAATCAAAGTAAATTATGTCTCAAGTCCCACTGCAGCATTCCAAAGGTGCAACGCACACAGGTTTTTTGGGGCAAAAACAAACAAATTGCTCAAAAGATATATCAAAAATCAAGGTACTACTGAAGGTTATATTTTCTTTCTTTTTAACCATCAAAGATGATCATAGATCAATTTGAACAACGAAAAGCTACTAACATAGAAATGACTGTTAGCCACCAGGAGGGGAGAAAAAGGGGGAAAGCAATTCAGAGATATTGGATAAAATTGAAACTTTGAACATATGGAAAAGAGGTAAAAGAGGTATTTTACTAACCTTGAATAAAATAGCCCTGTGCCTGCAAAGTCCTGAGGACAAATTGCCGATTGGTAGCACAATGCACTTCTGCAGATCCTTTAATCTCTTGCTAACAACTTTCCACCGCTGATGAAGATCACCTTGCTCCACCGGAAAAGAGCCCCTTAAATTTCAAGGAACTCAATTTCGTATAGAAGAAAATCAAGTATAGAGAGCACTTGAAAAAAATTGATACCTACCCCATATACACAGCCACAAGCTTGCCAAGTTTCTCTGCCAACACTAACGTATTCTCTGCAGCAAAGTAAATTTCTTGAGCTTTATCTTCTAATTCTCTGAGCTTTGAATCCCCACGCCTATCAATAAGAACAACCTCCATTGATGTATCACCGGGTTCAATTTCTTTTAGTGCCATTAGAGATGGAGTTCGTCTACCATCCTCTGTCTCATTACACATAACCCACAGATACGGATTCATTCCTAATATGTTATAAAACCCATCCGATATTTTGTCCGCATAAGACAAGGAACCACTCACCTGAAATTTTCGCAAACTTTAAGCATTAGATGGAAATCCACAGGCAACATGCCAAATAACAAGTGCTTACCGGCAGAGACCGATCCAGAATTTGAACTTTTTAAGTGTTCGAGAATCTAAGCCAGAGATCTCAAGTGCAAATTTAATATTCGTACATATTTAGCGAATTTCTTTTAACGCATCCGCCCCTGCTTACAGCTAAAGTATAACAAATAATAGAATTGTTTCCAAAGATTAACTACCAGGCATGCAAAAATAGAGTGTTTGTGTGTGTGTGTCAGTGTGTGAGAGAGAGAGGAGCGAAGAAATATACCCATAAACGATATGACACAGTTTGAGCATCAGAAGAACCACCAAGGCCCTTAGTACTTCTGCATTCTTGCAGAAGCATAGGCTCTCCAGAAGCAAGCATTGCTTGCTCTACAAGCTTTTTAGCAAGCGTGAGCTGCAAGTAATAGCTCTCTTTCGACTTCTGCATCAACGAACCCTCACTGTCAACTCTCTCCACCTCTTCCTCCGCCGCCTCCACCACTTCCTCCACTTCCCTCGTCGTCGACTGATCCGTCTGCGTATCTTTAACCCCAGTACTCGGCCAGTTCCCATCCAACGTCGTCCCCGAAAACAAACTCCCTGCATAACTAGTACTTCCCCAACTCGATAGCCTTTGCAACGAAGTTTGTCTCTCAAAATTACCCTTCCCCGCACAACTGAAATTGCTTCCACTACTCGATAATCTCTGTAATGAAACTTTCCGATCAAATGTCGACCCTTGCCGTTGCTTCTGCTCCGCCTCCGCCTCCGCCACGTGGCAAGCAACCAGTTCATGTACTGGTACAGCCTCAGGCGGAGCAGGAAGCAAAAGTTCATGTTCATCATCGCCATCAACATCATCTAATTTGATCTTCACGTGATTCTGTATTGATTTACCTTTCTTATTTTTCTCCGCCAGCCAGCTCACAAAAGCGGACAATTGCTTCCCGTGAATCTTATCACGGTGCCCATAGGAAAATGAAGCATTATTATTAGTCTCTTTCCCATGATCACTTGTCAGCTGTTTCGATGTGACATTATCTGAAGATTTTCCTGATTTAATTTGATCTTCAACGACAGTACTGATTTTCTTCTCGTGATCATCATTAACAAACTTTGCAGATGCATCGAACCCGCGGTCAGGAAATTGCCTCGGAAAGAAGTAAGTCGTTCTATGCGGCATTTTTTTTCAATCCTCACGTGAACAAAAATCTTTCAAAAAGTTTCAACCCGCACGCTTTCTCCCTCTTGTAAACCTTTTTTTGCTGGTTTTTCAACTACTTTCACCTCGACCGAAAACGACACCTCCAAAAGCCGATCGACCGTACAACAACTTCAAACTTTCTCAACTTTGATCAGAAAATTGATTTTCCGATCATTAAGAACACCAACGAGAAGACATTTTACTTATAAATGTGACGATCGACTTCACAAGGTATATACTTTTTGCTTCAAGACTTCAACTGTTGTACGTGCCTGAAGATGTAACAAAACCGAGAAACCCAGTTATTCTGCTAGCTTGTTCTTATATATCACAAATAAAAACTTTCATTATACGCATATATATACACCATGTGCACATATATATAAAAATATTTTTCTAAATATGGAAGTATTACCAGCAACCTTCAGCAGAAGTAATCAAAGACGAATAGAGACCCCTCTTTTTTCTTGAATTTGGAGAAAATAGCTGATAAATCTGCAAAAGATTGAAAGAGAAAAAGCTAGCTGACAAACCGCTTTAGCAAATGGATTTTAGTTTTCTGCAAAGAGAGAGAGAAAAGAGAGAAGAAAACAAATCAGTTGTTAAGGTGAGAGTATTTTAAGCGTAGAGTAAAAGGACTAAAAATCGGGTGGGAAATTGAAAATTATAAAAGTCAGGAAGCTAACGTGCGCCGGGAGGGTATAGCGCTCATATTTTATAAAATCACCACGTCAGGGTTAAGAGTGACATGCAGTTGACACGTACAAAAAGTGACTGCGAGTGCGTACTTGTAACCATGGCGCAAGTTAGAGAGCAGCAAAATCGCGGGTCGTAAGACAAAATAAAAATGGTGCTAAGGTTTAAGAATTGTTTGTATCTTTAGTCCTACTTGGAGTCATGGCCCATGGCCAAATTTTGTACTCATTAGTTGTAAACTTGTAATTAGTTTCATTTGAAATCCATTAAGCAATTAAACTAAATAGATAAGTACAAAAATACTCTTGAACATGTTTGATTGGGTACGGAGTTTCAAAAAAAAATAAAGACTTTTGGAATTTGTGATCCTAAATAAGTCCAAAAAAAATTTAGAGTATTTGTATGGTTATAAAAACTTCTCATTAAGAGTAGAATTTGAAGTTTAAGCTAAATTATTTTCAAATTTATAAAGTGGTCATTCTCTTTGGAACAGACTAAAAAGCAAATAGATTGGCGTACACTGGAACAGAGGACAGAGAGAGTGGATGTTATGGTTGGGTGATTTAACATCTACGATTACACCTTAATCTTAAATAGTTGGGGTCCGCTATAGTTGTTCAGTGATTACAGTCTCATCTAAATTCATCTCAAATTAATATTACAAAAGATAAAATAAAATATTAAAAATTTCTATATTTCTTACATAAGAATCTCTAACGAGACTAGAAAACTTGTAAAAAATATAGGATATGGAGTAAACGTACTAATGTGGCAAAAATATATACTCAACTACTAATTGTTATCGCCTTTATATATTCTTTCTGCTTCGTGTATTTTATTTTTCACTAAGTCTGCATCGATTTCAATTACATAATGTACCATGAAAATTATCTGTAAAGGAGTAAACCCCCCGGTGAGGAAAGTTCAATTTATAAATTTGAAAAAACAATTACTCCAGTTGCAATCAAAGTTTACAGAACTATAAACACCTCTAATTGTAATGGTTAAGCTGGCCATAGATTGGATTAACGGTCATGAGAAGGTGGTAAGTATTTCTTCACCTTTAAGCAAAGTTCCGGATTCAAACCGTATGAGTGAGTCATCTTTTAATAGTAGGAGCTTATTATTTCTCAAAGTATGACTTCAATTAAGTGAAACATCCCCTCCAAAAAAGGGGGTGTCTTAATCAAGATTTAATTTGGTTTTTATTTATCAGCTCGATTTGCGCAAGTCTGTGCGGGTTAGTGAGTTCTGGATTAGAAAATTGGTAATAGCATTATCCAATAGAAGCTAAAGAATGGAATATTAAAATAGATTGTGCAAACCATGCTATGATTTGGATTTGGGAGTGTTAAACTCATTCGTTGATTTAGGCGGTGGTCAGCTTTAATTTATCCTAAGATTATAATTGTTTGACTATTGACCCTTGATCTATTTGACCATATCTTTCCACGAATATAAATACTCTTATTACAAACTTGCCTGGACTTTACAAGTTCCTTATATGGATATATGAATATTATCTATGGATTTCTCTCAAGCAAATTAAATACTCTCTTCGTTCACTTTTACTTGTCCAGTATTCTTTCGATATACCCTCGACTCCCTCCCTCCAAGAACTCTCACCTTGTTCTTGGAGTGATTTGAAATCACAACCTCTTAATTGGAAATGAAGGGTGCTCACCACTAGAGCAAATCACTCTTTTCTTCATCTCCACAACATATAAACTATAAAGTATATGAGTTGATCACAAGTATTGTTAAGTCACCAACATATTGCCAATTTTATGTTATCATTATCAGCAGAATTCTCTTTTTGATTGTTAACATTTGGTTAAGTAGGACAAAATCCTATCCTCTTTTTTCTCCTATTTTGATTTGCTTAAATTGGTGGTCATCTATAGGTGTAAGGTACTCGTGAAATAAGCCTGTGAAAATCAATTTTTTCCATATACAGGAACAAATTTTATTTGTATCTTTTCTTGAAAAAGAATTTTTTTTCCTTGACGTAACAAACATTGTCGAAAAATGTAATTGAAGTTTTTTAATGTATTTTCCATAAAGAGAAAAGGAGAAGTGGCATTCTGCCTATATATCTTTGTGTTCGTTGATGGCTGCCATGCACCAATGTCGTCGACTTTGGACGGCCTTTCATGATTTTATTTATACTTCAAAAGGCATCATAATTATTACATATACTAATAAAAAGGAATATAATAATTGATGTTTGGCATATTTCGATATGTGTTAATGTTACTTTACCCATGCTTTAACCACTTT